TTACTTTTCTGAATTGCGCATTAAGGCTGGGAATCAAAGCGGGGGAGGATGTAGCTGGGCCCCAATGTGTGGAGCTACCGCTCTGTGAATGAAAAGATCAGAGTTTCCTCTCGTAACCTTACAGTGGCAAAGACTAGGAAGCTTATCCCAGAATGCACCTGGAATCCATTGACTTCAGGGAAACAAATCTAGTGGGCTCTTGGAAACGAATGCTGGGCTCTCAGAAAACCTAGCACCCCAGCTTATCCCTATCTATGTATTTTTTTTCCTTTTGCCCTTCCCCCTCCCTCTTTTTCTTCCTCTTTTTCTCTATTCCTTTCATTCTGTGATCTAAAGAAAATTATCCCCTTTTTTCCTGCATCGGATCCTTTGGAATGAAAGGTTAAAACTGATGACTACAAGGCTTTTTATGATGACCAGATTCTTTAAAATTGACAGAAACACGTGTTTTAGGAAACTGGCCATTGGGGATTCCCTTCTTGAATGCCATTTAATAAGCAGGTTGTTGGCCAGCATCATTCCAAATGAAGACATGGGGCAACGATCGAGGTCAGGTGACCTGTGGCAGAGTTGATAAGGGAGAGGTTAAGTCAGCTGTGCGGGTTAGCTGAGCATCTCAGAGTGTGATTGTTCAATACATAGTAAGCAAATTGCTTCATCCTTTTCCAATGCAAGTCAGGATAAAGTTCTAATAATCTTACTAACAACAAATTGAAGATATTTTACAAAAGCTATAATAATACTCAGTTGAAAAGAAATCCAAAGTTAATTTTCTTTGTGGGATCTGTTTGTTGTTTGACTCTAAGATTCAGTATTGGTAGGATCTTTGACTCATCTCCATAAGTGACTCACTTTCTCCTACCTCCTGCCCTTCTGGTGTCATTTGTTGCCTTTTAAGTTGCAACAGGAGCTTTCAGAGTTGCCAGAGGGAGCTGTGCTTAAGGCCACAGGACTCCTCTTCCCCCTTTTGGTGGAGTTCTAAGTCAGCGCCCTTCACCCATATATACAGACATGAATGTATTAAGTTCCACATGGTCTTCACAGTTTGGCTCTTAAATTTTTCTAATATTAAAATCTTGCCAAGCATGATGTTTAAATTTTGTGCATTTCTTGCCCCATCTCTTGAGGGAAAATGTTAGTTAGCAAGTGCTGCATATATATGTGTATTCTATTTCAATAATGTTTCATAATTATTTTTTAAAAGTTGGCTCTACCTATGAAGTAAAATAACTATTCAGTTTTAATACCACTTGAGAATAGAGTCTTATAGACATTAAGTTCTTACTAATGCTGGACAGACATTTATAACTGCTAGAGAGTAATAGTGATGTGAGTATGCCCATGGAGTCTAATAAAGCCAGGTAGTTCATTTAACCTTCATTATCTTCAGGATGGCTTTTTACTTCATCTCCTTCTGCCATATCCATTAAGGGAACATGTTTTAGCCATGCTTACGACTCTCATCCGTCTTTCCTTTCCTTTCCAGTGTCAACATGCTGGCATAGGACAGCAGGAGGAGACACAGTCAAGAGCCAGATCTTCGCTTATCCCACATAAGCCTGTGGTTTAGAAGCTTTGTGTGTGGAATGGTTTGGAGGAAAGGAATCAGGAGGAAGAGAACTAGGTAGCAGCTTATAATATTAGTCTGCGAAGGAGATGAAAACCACAATTAAGACAGAGAGGGTGGTAAGCAGATAGAATGAATTTAAGAGACATTTAAGAGAGAATCTACACAGAGATTGTTTGGATATGGGACACAGTTTCTCAAAGTAAGAATCATATAGGTGGTCTTGAGAAGATGGAATCCTGGGCCCTACCCAGACTCAGTGAATCACTGTCTCTTGGAGTACACCAAAGAACTTGCCCTTTTAACAAAGTTCCCCTTGTGATTCTGAGGCACACTGAGATTTAAATAGTAAAGAAGGGAGGTGTAAAGAATGATACTTGGTTTTTGTCTTGAGTGAATGGCTGACAGTGATGCCACAGATGAGACAGAGAACATAGGAGAGAGTAGGTTTGTGGGAGAGAAAAGATAGCTCACTTTTTAAACGTTCTTTTTGTGTCACCTTCCCTCTTCTTTATTCTCCCTTCTTTCTCTTCCCCATTATTCTATTCTTTACGCTTGCTACTTTGTGAATGCATTCGCTATTTATGTCATTATTGAATGTGGGTGAACTCTTCAGAAAGAATTAAGTTTAGGTGGTAAAAAAGGATTAGCCTGTCATCACCATCACCATGAAACATGCCCACATTCAGAACTTACAGATTTTTAGGAGCTTTTTTTTCTAGAATTTTGTAATTTTAGTGTTCTAGGCTTTTCAGTGGCAGGCACTGATGTACATCTCTCCAGCGGTCTACTTGGAACACGTGCACTGGCATTTTCTTTTGTTTTAATTAAAAAAATTTTTTTTTAATTACAGTTTCTGTATTTTATTAGTTTCAGGTATACAGCATAGCGGTTAGACATTTATGTGATTTACAAAGTGACCCCCGATAAGTCTAGTATCCACCTAACACCATATATTGTCATTATAATATTATTGACTGTATTCCCTATGCTGTACTTTATATGCCTGTGACTGTTTTGTAACTGCCAATTTGTACTTCTTTATCCCTTCACCTTTTTCACCAAGTCCCCCCTTTCACCTGGCAGCCATCGCTGTATCCATGAGCTTGTTTGTTTTGTTTGTTCATGTATTTTATTTTTTCGATTCCACATATAAATGAAATTATATGGTATTTGTCTTTCTGTGACTTATTTCACTTAGCATAATACCCTCCAGATCCTCCATTTGTTGCAAATGGTAAGATTTCGTTCTTTTTTATGGCGGAGGCATTTTCAGCTCTGCCCTGAGTCTAGTGGCAAGATGTTTACAGACCAGCCCTGAGCTGGCCTGTCTGCCTGCCGGCATCCCAGATTTTTCCATCTCTTCTTCTTTTCCCTCTAACCCTGCCTAGACGTCAGCATGCAGTTTAACTTTTCCTTCTTCCATAGTATTTTCTCTACCTCTTACCGCTCTCAATTCCTATAGGTATTTTTCATGTGACTCGTTGGTTTGCAGTAGTAACTCGGTTACTTACCTGGTTCTTTGATCAGGAGTATATGTCTTTGAGATGCAGCCCCAAAGAAACTTCTTTCTAGAAACCACCTGGAGTCCTACTCATACCTTGGCCAATGTCATTCAAATATTCCAAGCAACCCATGCAAAACTCTTATAGGCTGTTTCACCTGCACTATAATTCTTGGTTTATTTGTTTGCCTTTCCCACTGGCTTCTTGAGTTTATTTGTTCGGCTCCCTCACCCACATAAGCTTATTGAGAGTGGCACCATCATCATGTTTTACTGTTGAGTCTTGAGAGCCAACTATGTTATACCTGCCACACAGACACTAATCAGTTATATTGAATGAATGGATAAATGATCTAATTTTCATTGAAAGTCTAAGCTTAACAAGAGCAGAAGGTCCTGCATTTATATACAGCTTTGAATCTGAGTTAGCTCTTTGTGTACTGTGGGTGCTCATATTTGTCTGGCCTCACTTTTATTCTGAATACCCTCCTGCTGTTAGCCTGTAATCAGAGGTATTGTACCTTTGGCCCACTTGGCGGCCAGGAGGAGGTACGTCAGGATTTGACATCTTGGTGCCTGGTTTACCAGGAGCTCGGATTACCTGCCCTTTGAAGTACTCCTCCTGCACCTGGTGTTCTCTCCTCCCTAATCCCTTAAGCTTTGGCATCCAGCATCTAAACATGTCTGTAATATTCATGAATGTTTCCTTTCAGATAACCTCAAAAAAAAATTGGGGTTTTTTACTTTAAAGCCACCTGCTTCAGTCTTTGAAATGGATGGTAGTGACATTAGGTGATGCGAGGTAACACTTTATTGGAATTAAGGGCGAGGACTGTGGAGGCAGACCGCCTGTGTTCTAATTCCGTTTATGAGCTGTGTGACTTAGAGCATGTTACTTGCCTTCTCTATGGCTCAGTTTTTTCCCTGTAAATTGGTGATAAATATAATACCTTACAGCGTTGTTTAGAGGATTAAATGAGTTAATGAAAGCAGAACTTGTAATAATATGCTGGCTTTAGCTATTGCTTTTTAAAAATATTTTCCGTTCTTACAAACTGATGCCAACAAAGGCAATTTTCACTTAATAAATATATGCACACATTGATTTTATGTAACTTTATTGTGTGTTTATTCTGTTCTAGGCATTGTGCTAGGTATTGGAGATACAAAAATTTGAGGACAAATTATACATCTTGCCTTAAGTTGTTGATCTCTGGAAGATATAAACTAACAGACAATATTAATGCAGATGATGCCTGTTGTGATAGGGAAAGTATACAGTTTGTAATGGGAAGACTTAACTCAACACTGGAGCATTGGGGAAGGCTTTCCTACTGGGGCCTGAAGGACAAATAGGAATTCGCCAACTGAGGGAGGAAGAGAGTGTGTTTGATTGTTCCACGTAGGAGTAACTGATAGTTAGAGACCGTGACATAAAGCAGAGTGCTCTTTAGGAACTGAAAATTTAATACAGTCAGCATGCTTTGAGGCTTTGAGTAGAGAAGCAGATGTTGCAAGGCCTTGTCCACCATGTGAAACAGCTTGAACTTTTCCTTACAAGCACTATGAGGCCATTGAAGGGTTTTAACAGAGCAGTGACACGATCAGATTTGTGTGTGGATTTTTTTTTTTTAACCTTTTCATTGCAAAATAAAATAGAACACCATACAGACAAATGTTTAGCTTACTAAAGCAACTAAAGCAAGTATCTTGGTAACCACAGCCCAGATCAAAAAACCGAACTTTGCCAGCCACCCAGAGGAGCTCTGTCGTGGGCCCCACCCCAATCACAGCTCCCTCTGTCCCCACAGAGATGACTTTGACTTCTATGGTCATCACATCCCTGGGTTTCTTTGTAGTTCATTCAAGTGTGCATCATTAGGCACAGATTTAATCTTGCTCATTTTTTAAAATGTTTTTTACGAGTCTTTTTTCTCTGTTGGCTGGTGCAATTCAGTGGTGAGCTGATAGTAAACCCCAGCTTAGGAAACAGGGTTGTTCTTCACATGGATGACTGTGCCGAGAGCATGGGAATATCTGGGGAAAAAAAGAGAGGAAAAAGGAAAAAAAAAAAAGTTTTTTATTTGCAGTTTCCCCTCCATTCCTTTATTTTTGTTACAATATATCTATGGAAGAACCTGGGGCCTTGGACCTGCACAACTTTCCACTGTATGCTGGAAGCGTAGCTCCGTGAGTTCCTCCACTCTTGCTATTTCCTGCAAACTGACCACTGGATGCTGAGGCTTGATCCAGCTCAGTGTTGATCACTTTGACATAGGTGGCGGCTGTGGTCTCATCAGCAGACTTAAAATGGCTGCTGATTCCTCCATGTGACAGATTTGTGTTTTACGAGGGAAGAATCTCTGACCACATGTGAGGAGTAGATTGCAGAGGTCAAACCAGGAAGACAAGTTAGTCCTTTTGTGTTAATCCAGATGAGAGCCTGGAATAGGGGCTCTGAGAATGGAAAGAATTGATGATTTTCAGAAAGGTTTCAGAATGAGCATGTATAAGACTTGACAGTTGTGTTTGAGGACAAAGAAGATGAAGAAGTATTTTCCTGGGATGCGAAAAGGATGATGGGGCCTTTCAGTGAGATTGTAAAACTTGGAGCTGCTGGGGAATGATAATAAAGCATTTGGTTTAGGATATACTGAGTTTGAAGTGCCTGTGGACCTAAGGAGATGTCAAGTTCACATCTCTCAAACATTATTTTTAGCTACTTTCTGTTTGCCAGTAGTGTATTGTGACTTAAGTGTTGTTACCAGAAAAAAAAAAAAAAAGATTTTATTCAATATAAAATGCTGTCAAGTACAACATACATAGTTTCTGTCAGTGATTTAAAAAAAAAAATGTAGAAGGAAAGTTCAAAGAAGGTTAGATTTAATTAAACGGGGCCTACCACAATAAATAAATGAATAACAGAAAAACGAAAAGGCAATGTGCTAACAGTATTCCAGCCACATGGGTGTCTTCACATCACTCTCTGGAGCTGAAACCAAAAAGAAGCATTGCGCAGGCAGTGCTCCAGGAGGGAGGCGTCAGCTTGGGTGAATTGGGCTGTTTCTTCTGAAATTATAAAAAAGAAATAGAAAAAAGATTATTGATGAAGAGTGGATAGCGACTCGGCTTGTAACAATTTAGTGAGCAAATTTTAGTTCATTTCTGTGATTCGTTTACAGTGAATTCGCTATGATGAAAAAAAAGAAACGGAAAGAAGACGTAAGAATAAATCCACACATACTGCTAAAACTTTAATATCTTCTCACCCTAAAATTTTGACCGTCATTTTGAAAAATCACATGGAGTGTACTGTTTTCCCTTCTTTGCAGAACCTGTTGACTTGGGAAAGATTTTAAAGTGTTACTGAAGCTAGTTTGAATCTTTTGCTCTGGCCTGTCCCTTGGTCAGAGATGGTGGAGAGAATGTGACTACATTCAGCCTTCGGGGTGCAGTCAGCTTTTATTTTCAATATGGCAGGTAAATTTAGATCTAAAATTCTGAGAAGTGTTTAAGGTCCATGGCATGTCGAAGATTGCTCACAGTTTGACTTATAATTTAATTTAAATTTAGTTTACTCATTAATTCTGTTTTGTGGCAACACGATGAGGTAGCACATCTTCAAATTTTTGATGATTCACAAAGAAAAATCCATTTCCTTGCCAAATTATTTTGTAAGAACTACTTGCAACTGTGTCCCCAGGGCATGAAATAAAATAAACAATATTAGCATAGGGTATATCCTGTAATAATATTGGTATTGGTATAATACCTAATGTTCATAGACATGGTTTCATTATCTCTCTGGAATGTAAATGGCTACAAAGCCAAACAGAATTGTTTCAAGGGAGGAGAGACGTTTTATTGTTTTCCTGCACAGTGATAAATGTTTTGTTCCTGCATTGACTACTGGGGCCCATTTGGTGCTTCACATCTGCCCCCGCCATGCAGCACCGTCTGCCCTCTCCTTTGAACATTCTGGACTTCTCTGGTGTCCTGGGTTCCTTCCTAATGATCTCACAATGGGATATTCATTCCCTCAGTGCTGGCTCCAGACCCGCTGCCGGGAAGTGCTCTGGGAAGCGCAGGACTCAGCCAGTCAGTGAACCTGGGCCCAGGTCCTCTCTGCCTGCAGGATGCACCTGAGGGGCTGCTTGGTTGGTGTCACCTTTTTCCTCTAAGCCAGTGGTTTTCAAACCTTTTGTGACTGTGACCTGTCACAGTAAGAACAGAGTTGGTGTCATGGCCCAATGTACACATAACTTTAACTCTATATATGTCAATATATAAGTAAAAGTTGCACAAATCAGCTCTTGCATTTGTTATGTTTTCTGGTCTGCTGTTTTCTATCTCATTCCATTAAATTCCACTAAAAATATGGTGCTCATAACCTATTATGTGCATTCCACAATCTATTAATAGCTCGTGATTTTTATAATTTGAAAACTCTGCCTAACATTCTGATGAACACGTGATACCTTTTCAGAGAATCCCTTTTCAGTATCCCTGTTCTTGAATATCTCCAGAGAGGGGACTGATTTTTATTTCATATTTCTAGTATTTAGAGTACTTGTTCCTCAAATATATTATGAAGCGTCTTTTTTCATTAGGAAATAGTGCAAGTCTGTGATTGAAGATTATGTTTCAGGTTTCCGAGGCTGAGTGGAATATTATTTCTTATTGACACACAGAAGAAAATCAGCCACACGGTTCATTCACTGTTTTAAAAAGGCAACTTCAGCAAAACCTTTGAAAAGCATATTATAAGAGGAAAATTTTGATAGAGCATTAGAAAGCAGGCATCTTGGGTAAATACCAATCTTACTGAGGAGAGCATAAGAAAAAGTAAAATACTATTTCATGTACCTTAGCACGTTAAGATCCATCTCATTTTGGTTTTGATATTTTCTACCATTAGGGTGACTAGATTTAGCAATTTGAGTACAGCTTTTGCCATTGTTAAAGTATCTCTCACTTTTTAAACTTTATATCACATGTAATTATTTGTCATTTTCCATGTTGTGTTGTCAGAATATTAGAGGATTGCTCTTTAAAATAAATGAGAGCATTCAGGTAGGAACATAGTGGGTGCAAGACGGCAGTGATGGCAGGTGACATTTAAGGTTCATGTATTCAATGCTAGTGCAGCAGTAACCAAACACCATAGACTGGGTGGCTTAAAACAAACAAATTGATTCTCTCACAGTCCTGGAGACTAGAAGTCTGAAATCAAGGTGTTAGCGAGATTGGTTCTTTCTGGAGGCTCCAAAGAGAAACTGTCTCATGCCGCTATCTTAGCTTTGGTGGTTGTAGCAACCCTTGGTGTTCCATGGCTTGTTGATGCCATCATTCATTTATCTCTCACATATGCCATCTACCACCAACACATGCATACTCTTCTTTTCCCTCCATCTTCTTAATATAGAAATATCGTAATTTTAAATCTCATGTTGTCTTCTTTTTTGGCATATATCCTAATTTGGGTGGACAAATTCTCCACTGGTTTCCACAGACAGTATTCAAGAGAAGTAAATTTTGCAACCTTGGATGCCTACATGTGTTTATTCTACCCCAGTGTTTAAATGGTAGCTTGTCTAGATGTGGAAATGTACTCTGAAAATTGCCTCTGAGTTTTGGAGGCATCGTTTCGTTGTCTTCTAGCTTCTGGTGTGCTATTGAGATGTCTGATCCCACTGTGATTCTTGATGCTTTGAATGGAATCTGATTTTTCTCTCTGGCACCAGTGTTGTTTAGAGTCTTTTCTATGGCACCAGTGTTATGAAATTGTGGAATCATGTGCCTTGGTTTGGCATGGGTCTGTTTTCATTCATGTCCTGTGCACTTGATGGACTATTTCAGTCTTGAAACTCAAGCTCTGTAGTTCTAGGAAATTTTCTTGACATGTTTCATTTCTTCGCCTTTATTTTTCATTGTTTTCTTTTTTCGTTCTCTTCTTTTTTAGATATTTATCTGCTTGACCAATCCTCTAATTTTTTCCCCTGTTTTCTTTGTTTCATTTACCCACTCTCTTGATATTTCTTCAACTTTCCTTCAGCCCTTCTATTGAGCTTGTCTTCCAGCTATTTCATTTTTCATTTTCAAGAGCTCTTTTTTGTTTTGAAATTTTTTCTACCTGCATGGTTTAGTTTGATCATTTAGTTGATTTGCTGCATTTATCATTTTGTTTATTTGGACCTCTTCTTTTCTATTATGGGATTTCCTTAAATCTCTGGTAGTCACTGATTGCCTACTCATATATAAGAGCAGGGTTTATATATTAGTTTCCTATTGTTGCTATAACAAATTACCACAAACTTAGTGACTTAGCAGACTTATTTTACATTTCTGTGCATTAGAAACCTAATGTGGGTCTTACTAGACTAAAATTAAGGTGTTAGTAGGACTGCCTCCCTTTCTGGAAGCTCTAGAGGAGAGTTTGTTTCCTTGACTTTTTTGAGCTTCTATGGGCTATATAAATTCCTTTGCCCTTGTCTCCTTCCATCTTCAAGGCCAGCAACATTGTGTCTCTCTGATTTTTCCACTGTAGTTACATTTCCCTCTAATCACAGCCATGAAATAAGACCAAGTTCACCCAGATAATCTAGGATAATCCCGTACCACAAAGCCCTTAATTTAATCACATCTATAAAGTCCTTTTGCCATGAAAAGCTATATATTTATTTATAGATTCTAGGAATTAGGATGTAGATATATTTGAGGGGACTATTATTTGCCTACCACAACTTCTAAACAGCTGATTGTTCACTCTGTGTTTTGGGGGGTGGTATGCTATGAGGTACACTATAAGATTGATAACAATTTGGCTAAACCTTTTCCTTGGGAAACCCTTGATGTCAGAATCTTTAGATCTTGACTCTCAGTCCTAGAGTACTTACCCTGTATGTATCATGTTATATTTGAAATAGCATGTTTTTAATGTTTCATGTTATAAAATTTATTGAATTTTGGAAAACAAATAAACACGTAAAAATACACACAATTACTATAACATTTATAAATGATCATTTTTTCTGAAATT